GTTAGTACCCAACCTAGTCATGTTACGCGCCGGACTATTGGCTTTCAAGACTTACCTCTCCAATGTACGTGACAGCTACTGTTGATAGAGCACCGATAGCGAAGCCATTGATGAACTTGCCGCCGAAGAAGAGCTCATTTGTGGTTGCGACGAATTCGAGAGTGATACCGGTGATGGAGAATGCCAATGCGAGACCAATGACTTTCTTTCGTCCAAATATGTCTGCGAGAGGACCGCTACCTAACGCACCAACAACGGCTCTGCATAGACAGGTTTAGCACATACCCAGATCGTGTATAGTAAAGAACGTGATGTTACTCACGAAGCGATCGGTGCGCCATTGAAAGCGGACTGCCATTTCGTATCCAAGACATAGGAACCTTCAAACTCATGACCAAAGTCCTTTCGGAACTCTGGAATACTCAAGATGCTGCCACCTGCCTGGTTCTCAAATGCCAGGACCAGGACACACCATACGGCGTAGATGCACCAGAAGGACGCTTTCGGGTACTTCTTCAACGACTCAAACTTTCCGAGCTCGTGCTCCTCCTGGTTTCCCAGGTTGGCGAGTTGGGCCTGACCTTCGCCGGGGTGCTCGAGGTGGTCGGCGTTGTCCTTCTTCTCAGCGTCGACCATCGTGACTGGCTTTCTTTCGGTTAAGAAACAAGGCCTAAAACGAAACAACTCCAAAAAGAGAAAAGTCAAAACGACTAAAAATCAATTCGGATTCAGGCTAAAAGAGGCTGAAGTCTAGGGGTAACGCCAAGATGCAGGACGAGGCTTGAGATTGCAACCATCACGGGCTCTAGGGAGTCTTTATAAGGCAAAGCCGCAACACACACAATGGGTTGAGACCAGACTCGTAAGTACGAATGGGCCAACCCGCATGGTCCCACGCCGACATCATGGATACGGCCACACCAGAAATCTGGAACCTCGGGGGAATGACACGACGGTGGATCTGGGGTGTTGCCAGCATCGTCTGGGGATACCTGCGGGGCCCCAACTCTATGTGGGAAGATGGAGACTGGTTGGAGGCTGGCCGAGACGAGTCAGGAGACCAAGACGCCATCACGCCCATATCCACCGTTTGTCCGGTGTAGTGCCTGGGGTTTCCCCATCCAGGAGTGTTTGCCGGCAACTAACCCCACGCGAGGAATAGTTTTCATGGTTTCTGAAAATCAGGGGAAGAAGCGGAGATACTCTTATCCATGAGGCGGCATCAGCCACTGTCTTGAACTGCGAATAGACTCATTTGTTATACGGTGTCCTGTATGCCTATGGTGACCTAATTTGAAGCGCCTAAAACTTGGAGGCTCGAAGGCCGCATGTGGAAAGACACAGCGTTGTTGAAGTCGCCTCTCGGTGCCACTGTTTCTACACCTCAGGTCGAAAATTAGATTATCCGTATCGTAGCAATACATGCTTTCGTAGAAAGGTGATGGCATCGCAGCAGTCTCGATATTCTCCGCCTATGGAAAATTCTCTTGTCCCGTGCTTTTCTCTCAAGACAGAACCCCGGTTATTTCCGGCTCGCGGCACCATTTAGCGGTGTTTTGGTATGTCGAACGGTGGAGGCGCGTCGCCGGTTGTTGCCCGATTTTACAAAAGAAGTTTGGCACGTCGGCGAGCCGCTATTCTTGGCCCCGACTCTCTAGAGCGCTCTTAGAAAAGTATTGGGGGTTGCTGTCCGACATTGTCCGACGTTGGTCTGCGTTGACATGACGCGGTCTGAAGTCTCTAGATGAAAGACAGACGGTGCTTCATACTTCCTAATTCGATACCTCGGTCACTGCTTTGTGTCTATCATCGAAGTAGTGTCTAAGGTAAGCTAAGCATTGATCGAATTTGAATGATGCTTGGAGATGATCAAAAGTTGGTCACGCATGGTTCGGAATCCTTCCCGAAACCAACCATTAGCTGAGTTCATTTTCACACTCTTTGAGCGTGGTATGGCATCTCGTTCTCTCTCCGTCGACTTTCGGTCAAGGTTCTTATGATTCCTCAAAGCATATTCACCACTCTCGCCATGGTACCATTTCCAAGACGTTTTCGTTATGGGCTCCAAACATCTGGCAATGACGCAACCCCAGACCGCGGACTTGGTAAATTACCTTGGAGAATGGAGATGCCGTCCCCACACGACTCGTGTGGGCGCTTGACAACCCCCAAATCAGCCAAGCTTGAGCCCCAGAAGCTGGTCGGATTGCGGGGTTACCACCCTGTTGAATAATGAGGAGAGCCGGAAAGAGGCCGAGACTATTCAGCTGTATGGGTCCTTACCACACGATATTCGGGTCAGGTTAACAGCGAGGTGCGAGTGAGTGTGTCAGAGAGAAAGGTGATTCTGTCGACGTTCCAAATCAGGAAATCTTAAGCACCGAGGCCATCGCGAGAGCATCGCGCTGAACAGCTCGTCATAAGGGAGTGGGCAGCTTTCCTTCAAAGTAATCGTGCCAATATTCAACTTCAAACCCCTGAACCCGAAACCCTTACATTGCGAACTTGCGTCTCATTCTTGTTCCTTTGCACATATCACGTCACAACTGCAGGCCAGCAAGTTGAGATATCACCACCATGGCGCAACTCACCAGACTTCAAACATTCCCAAACAAGCCGAGAGTGTTTGTCCTCACAGACATCTCGAACGAACCCGACGACGCGGAATCGCTCGTCCGTTACCTCCTCTACTCCAACCAGTTCCAGACCGAGGGCCTCGTCGCCGTCTCATCAACATGGATGAAGAACAAAGTCTGCCCGCAAGATATTCACAAGATCCTTGACGCCTACGCCGGCGCCGTGGATAACCTCAACAAACACACGCATCCAGACTACCCTTATCCTTCAGCCAACAGCCTACGAGCCCTGGTCAAGTCCGGGCCACCGGTACGCAATCGAACGGCATTTGTCGCTCAAACATCAAATACCTTATGCTAACATTCAGTGCCACAGGCGTATGGATTCGCCGGCGTAGGTGCAGATAAGCCTTTGACCGACGGCGCCCAGCTCCTCCTCGAGAGAATCGAGGCCACTTCACAAGATCCCCTTTGGGTTCTCGTCTGGGGTGGCACCAATGTCCTAGCCCAAGTTCTCCTTACCATTCGCGACAAATACTCCACCGAAGACGCAGCCAAGTTGCGATCGAAGCTAAGAGTTTACACAATTTCCGACCAGGACAACACCTCCGCCTGGATCCGCACCCAGTTCCCCGACATTTTCTACATCTCCTCTATCCATGGCTGGAACCAATACGGACTGGCAGCGTGGACCGGTATCTCCGGAGACAAATACTACGGTTTTGACCAGGGCGGCCCAGACTTCTCCAAGGTCTCAAAGCAATGGATCAAAGATAACATTCAGATCGGCCCGCTAGGCTCCGCGTACCCCGACTTCCTCTTCATCCCAGAGGGCGATACTCCAACGTTCCTCTACCTTATCCAAAACGGCCTGGGCAATCGAGAGCATCCAGATTACGGCTCATGGGGAGGCCGTTATGCGCTCACCGACGCCAGTGACGCTGGCCAGCAGGGCAAACACTACAGCGATATGTCCGACTCGGTCGTCGGCGTCGACGGCAAATCATACCGCTCCAACCAAGCCACCATCTGGAGATGGCGCGACACGTTCCAAAACGATTTCGCGGCACGCATGCAGTGGTCACTAAACCCTGACCTCGCCTCAACAAATCACCACCCCATTGTCGTCGTCAACGGTTCTCAGAGCCTCGAGCCGCTGTATTTCGAGGCCGAAGCCGATTCGACAATCGAACTTGACGCTTCCGGGACATACGATCCTGATGGAGATGAGTTGACGTTCAAGTGGTGGCAGTACCGTGAGCCGAGCGCTTCACAATGGCTGGTACACTTTGAAGTCTCGGAACTCGGTATCGAGAAGCTGGATGCGGAGGGCAAGAAGATTAGGGTCACGGTGCCGGAGCCTGAGAAGTCTTGCATGGAGCTCATCAGCCGGCAGCCGATGGCGAAGGGCCAGTTGTTGCATCTCATCTTGGAAGTGACGGATAGCGGAACGCCGGCGTTGACAAGCTACCGTCGCGTTTTGATTCAGGCAACGAATAAACATTTGAGAGGAGGCAAGCCTCTGAAGGAAGGGGAAGAGCTGTTAGCTATCGGTGATGCCATGAAGGATTATACTGGATGAGAAAGCATCACGACTAGTTCTTCAATGAAAGTCAGTCTCAATCGAACCTTGGATACTAGGCCGGTGAGAGGGAGCTCACGCGAGCCTTCAATGGATTACGCTGCTGTTCGACTTATTGACGGATCAAATGATACCATGCTTGGTTTATGTTGACCCTTCAGAAGGCACGTCAAACCCCACGGTTATCAATAGCGCGTGAACTTATCATCAGTGTCAGGATTTTATATCCTTTTGAGCTCGTCAATCATATTCACTGAAGTGTGACAGCATGTCGAAAAAAAGGCCGAAGAATAGACCATGACTAGAGGGGTTGATCCCATTCATTTCACGCCGGAGTTGAGTCTCAAGACTCAGGAGGGTAGGCAAGTTTTTTTTTAGTTTTTTTTTTTTTTTGAGTACAAGTGCCAATCGAGAAAAGTTCTACAACGAGAGTGGATGCTCGTAGTGTTTCCAGTCTCATTGGCAGCTTGCTGAAGGATTGGGGCGAAGGAAGCCTTCTTACATCGGACGCATGGGCACCTGATTGGTGTCTTCAGGTCTTTGGGAAAGCTTCCTGGCCAGCAGGAACCGCAGGGGCCTGAACTCTTAGGGTCGCAGAACAGGAAGATGATCAGAAATCCTGTCCATCTCTTTGGAGGTGGTGGCTTAGTTAGTGCTGACGGAGAGTTCGACGCGCCGTCGTCATCTCACCTGTCTCAAATCTTATTGTCAGCGACCTCCTTAACAAACAACCCATCTCCTTCTCTCCCGTCGCAAAGATATCGCGCTCTCACGGACGTTCATCCCATCTAAAAAAATTTGAGCGTCGTCGTCTGGTCTGGTGCATCAGCTCCTCGAACAAGATGGACAAAGACAATTCATCAACTGTAGCTGTGATCGGGGCAGGTACGTCGCGTGTAGACAACGAGACATGAGCCTGCTTACTCATGTTTACTGATGTGATGATCAAGGATCCACCGGTCTGTCGATGCTCAAGACTCTCCGGGAAGACGGATTCGATGCTACGTTGTTTGAGAGGCGAAGTCGCGTTGGCGGTCTTTGGTCCTACACCGAGGACAAGAGCATGACCACTGCGCTCCCTTGTGAGACCCCTCAAACACTCCTCAACACCTCCATTGCTGGATGCACTGACCTTTTCTAGCTACAAATGCCATCATCAGCAAATACACCTGCGGATTCACGGATTTCCCGATGCCAGATAGTAAGTGCATGAGTATCTTTCCCGAAACATGTCAGTCGTCAGGTGGCTGACGTCCTGAAAGAGTATGGGCCATTCTTAAGCCAAGGCGACTTCGAAGAGTACATGGAATCTTATGCCGAGAACTTTGGTCTCTACAAGCATATCGTTTTCAACAGCACCGTCAAGAAAGTTGTCAGAAACGGCGACGGTACCAAATGGAAAGTCGAAATGGTCAGATCAGGCAGCCAGGAAGTGAAAGAGTTCGACAAGGTCGTCCTCTGCCATGGCTACCAGACGCAACCCAGGATGCCAACCTTTGAAGGTCAAGAGCTGTACCAAGGTCAACTCCTCCATTCACAACAGTTTCGAAAGTACGTATCAGTGTCTCGTCTTGGACGATCACAGCTCACCAATCCAACACCAGCCCGGAGAGCTACAAAGGCCAAAAGGTCGTCCTCGTCGGTCTCAGCGCTACGATGAGCGACCTTCTCACCATTTTGGTCGACCAAGCTAGAGAAACCTACGTGTCGCACCGAAACGGCGCAATGATCATAGGTCGCTGGCGGAACGGCCTCCCCACCGACCTCCTCATCAACCGCGCCCGACGACAAATGTCCTACTTCCTGCAGAGAAACTTTCCCAACCAGGTCAATAAGCTCGTCAAGCTCGCCACCGGCCTCTTGATGCGACAGCATGGCAAGATCGATCCCGCATGGCGGCTCCTCGAAAACGTCGCCCCGCTGAGCTTGCACCTCGCCGGATGCATGGACACGACTCTGGAGCTTCTGCGCGAGGGAAAGGTGTCGTCCCTGTACGGGATCAAGAGGTTCCTCGGTGGCAAGAAGATTGAGTTCACGGATGGAACCGTTCTAGACGATGTCGACTCTGTTGTCTGCTGTACCGGATACACTGCAGATTTCAGTCTCGTGCCCTTCGTGGAGACGAGCAAGCCCAAGGCGGACGCGGCCGGCCACCCGTACGGGGGCGAGTCCATCGCCAGGCTGTACATGAACCTCTTCCCGCCAGCTCATGCAGATAGCATAGCGATTCTTGCGTACTCGACGTACGGCAAAAATAACGGCTTCTCGTTCTCGGACGTTACTTCCATGGCGATAAGCAACATCTGGCGCGGCGTCAGCGCGGACATGATCCCCTCTAGACCGAAGATGGAGCGCGCCATTGACCGCCATCAAGAGTGGGTCGCCGGCCGTTGGCACCAGGAGAACAGATCTGAGCCTGGCGCGGTTAAGCAGTGGGAATTCCAGGGGTTCTTACATCAGGCTGCTGGCACCGGGATGGAGAACCTGGGCTGGGGATGGCGCGGTTGGCTGACTTGGTTTAAGGACCCTTACATGGTGTACCTGATCAACCACGGCGTCGAGACGGCGCATGCGTTTAGATACTTTGAGACGGGGAAGAGGAAGACTTGGGATGGGGCGAGAGAGGCAATCATCCACATGAACAAGTTGGTGAAGCAGCTCAAGTCTGCTAAGAGGTGAAGCTACAGATCGGGAGCACAGGAATTTACTCAACCATTGAAGGTGTTTTCGGCTCGTCTTGTTTCGATTTGTCATAGTGTGGCTACCTACAAATCTCTCCATCGTCGTATGTTAGCTGTGTCTTCAATTATGTATCCACGGCCGAGTGGTGACACCGGGTCCGGAGTTAGCCCCGCAAACTCCGGCCTTCTCCTCCGTAAACACTAACGTGGGCCCTGCCGTTCGTGCCGGTCCCTCCTCAAAGCCGACCGGATCCTTTAGCGAAGATGACCACGGGCTCGGCCAGATTCTGTATCACCGGTGTAACCTGTCATCATGGCCGGCAGAGATTGGTTACAGACGGGTTTGGTGCGCATTTATTGAAGCAGTGAACGCAACGCACGACCATCTAATACGTCACAGACGCGACAAATCCCCGCATCAAAATGTCGGATCGAGGCGTCGTCTGTTGCCGGCATGGAGCCATCGGTATGAGCTCTGCTAAATTCCGGTCATATTTCCGGAGCGATATGTCAGCCGTCCTCGACTGCCGATGCCCCTCACACAGCAAAGTATAAATGCACGACTTACTGTCCGTCTGGTATCTAGGCTCTCGATCGGAGGGTTTTCATTCAATATCACTAGCTTCTTATTAGGAGTTGTCGAAAGCACATCAGTACATCTAGTCAACACCGCCTAACCTTGCCCAACCACAATCACAATGTCCAACTTCATGGCAGAAGCGCCCGAGCCTCCCACCGAACTGGGCAGGCTCCGCGTCCTCTCACCCAACGCAGGCATCCGCGTCTCCCCCTTGGCTCTTGGCGCCATGTCCATCGGTGAAGCCTGGGCCGAGGCAATGGGCGCCATGAACAAGGAGCAGTCCTACAAGCTCCTCGACGCCTTCGTCGAGTCCGGAGGCAACTTCATCGACACGGCAAACGGCTACCAGGACGAGCAGTCAGAAAAGTGGATTGGCGACTGGATGAAGGAGAGGGGCAACAGGGAGCAGATTGTGCTCGCCACGAAGTACACCTCGGATTACCAGAGCCACGCCCTGGGTAAGGGCCACACGGCCAACTTCACGGGTAACCACCGCCGCAGTCTCCACGTTAGCATCCGGGATTCGCTCAAGAAGTTGAATACGGATTACATCGACATCCTGTACCTGCACTGGTGGGACTACACGACGTCCATCAAGGAGATCATGGACTCGCTTCATATCCTCGTCGAGCAAGGCAAGGTCCTCTACCTCGGCATCTCTGACACGCCCGCCTGGGTCGTCAGCGCTGCCAACACGTACGCAGTCGACCACGGTAAGACGCCCTTCAGCGTGTACCAGGGCCGGTGGAGCGTGATGCACCGCGACTTTGAGCGCGACATCCTCCCCATGGCCCACACCTTCGGCATGGCCCTGTGCCCATGGGACGTGTTGGGGTCCGGCAAGTTCCAGTCGAAAAAGGCCCTAGAGGAGCGCAAAAAGGCCGGCGAGGGTCTGCGGTCATTTGTCAGCACTGGCGAGCAGACGGAGATGGAGGTCAAGATGAGCGAGGCGTTGGAAAAGGTGGCGGGCGAGCACGGCACGGAGAGCGTAACGGCCATTGCCCTTGCCTACGTCCGCAGCAAGGCGGCTAATGTGATTCCCATCGTGGGAGGACGCAAGGTCGAGCACTTGAAGGCCAACATTGATGCGCTCAAGATCAAGCTCACGGATGAGCAGATTGCGTTCTTGGAAAGCGTCAAGCCGTTCGATGTTGGGTTCCCTGGCAACTTCTTGGGCCCAGACCCTAACATTACTGGCAAGTCGTTTAGGTTGGCACGCGCCTCACAAATGTCGTTCCCGAATTCAGGCAGGCAGACGAGCATCTGAGCTAGATGGATGTAGGCTAGATTGGAAGTGTAATGGAAGGTTTGTCTCATCAAACCAGATGACGAGGATCAGTCACCCGTACGAGTACATCAGTATGGTAGTTGAATGGCTGTCCTCCGGGCTATGAAATTGTTCTTGCCGAAGATTCGACGCTATTCAGCAGCTTCGGCTTGACGATTGACTTTATCCTTTCACAGAAGTTCATTTCGGTTGGCATCGCTTACCTCTAGTCCTCAAGTGATCGCATGCACAGGCTGTTTTTGCCCAAAATTACGCTTTAATTGGTGACTACAGCTGGAGGGCTGTCTCCAACGAGGTAGAGATGCTAGGGAAGCCTCCTCAAACCACCTACGTCCTATCAATCTGTGTGACCGTGGCCTTGGACGAATCCAAGCCCTTGTGGGTATCCTTATCAAAGTCAACCGCAGCATCAGCATGCGTATCAAGTCCCATCTGTTTCATGGCATTCGTTCCCACCGCCGCGTCCGGGCCGTCAAAGATCTCAGCCACCTCCTCGAGAGACCGTCCCTTGGTCTCGGGGAAGAAAAACCAGATGAGGGTAAGGTGGATGGCGATGGCCACACACCACACAATGTAGTACTTCCACGCAATCGCCTCCATGGCAACGGGGTTCGCAAACGAGTTGTAGACACCCGCCAAGTTTCCGGTGAGCTGGTAGAGCATGGAAGCCTTGGCGCGCAACGAATAAGGCGTAACTTCCATGATGTAGGTCGCGCCGATGGGCGAGCAGGCGTGGTACCAGAAGGAAAAGACAAAGATCATGGCCAGGACGGCGCCCGCGTAGCCCATGTGCTTGAAGCCAGTCTCCTGGTTCAGCGCGGAGCAGATTGTCCAGATGATGTACGAGACGCCCATGCCTGACATGCCGACGAGGAAGAGTCTGCGTCGACCAAACTTGTCCACCATGGTGGCGAAGACGCAGGCCGAGAGGAAACCCCAAATTTGTAGTCCTGCGTTGATGAGGAGCTGGGTCTTGTGGTCCGTGACATTGATCGAGTTGAGCACCCTAGACGAAGTCTGTTAGCAATTGAGACGAAGCAACAAGAGTATCTAGCTCATAACTCACTTTGAGAGGAAGTACGAGGTCAAGGCATTGCCAGACCACTGCAGCATGGCAGGAATGTACAGAGCCAAGAACAAGCGATGCCAGTTGCCACGAGTAGAGATCCATTCCGCCCAGCGCGACCTCTTCTGCACCTTTTCCACCTCGAGCGTGGCCGTGATCTCAGCCATCTCGAAGCGAGCAAGACGGGAGTTGGGGTCCCCGTATCCGTGCCACTTGACCAAAATGTCCCTGGCCTCCTTGTAGCGGCCCTTGTAAATCAGCCATCTGGGCGACTCGGGGCAGAAGAAGACCAGAGACGCCTGGATGACGGAGCAGACGCACTGCAACAAGCTGGGAAGACGCCACGCCCACGAGTTGCTCATCTTAAAGGTGCCAAATGTGACCCAGGCGGCGATGAGGGCACCGAGCGGCCACGAAACCATCATGAAGGAGACAACCTGTCCGCGGTGGGTAGGGTACGTGACCTCAGACAGGAGGGGCGGGGCGGCGGTCGAGATGATGCCGAGTCCGAAGCCGATGATGAAGCGGGAGGCGACGAACATGCCGTAGTTGAGGGACCAGGTCTGGATGATGGAGCCGACAATGATGAGGATCGAGCCGCCAAAGATGGGCTTCCGGCGGCCGAGCCAGTCGCAGAGCTGAGAGGAGATGAGGATGGAGATGAGGACGCCGCCGTTGGGGCCAAAGGTCATGGCACCGAGGCGCGTTCCCTTCGGCTCGCCAAAGAACTCTTGCCACTGCGGTAGGGACTGCATGCCATTGAGCATGCTGGCGTCGAAGCCCGTTGCCGTCTGAGTCAGGAGACCGCTGAGAAGCAGCAGGTTGAGCTTCCACAGGGTCCAGTCGCTGTACCATGGCTTACGATCGCGAGGGATGACATCGCTGAGGACGAGGCCCTGGAAGTCGTCGGCGTCGGCACCGGGCGAGTGGACCTCTTCGGTGACTGGCTTTGCCATTGTGATGGTTGTCGTCGTCTCGTCGAAGAGAGAGAGTTGCCTTTGCCAACTTTGTCGTCGTTGTCTCTTGGGGAAACCGACTCGGACTGACGGCTGCTGGTTTGCGGGCCTGCAGGGTAGTAGTGAATCCGGCGCAACGGTCCTCTTATATCTCAGGACGAACTGGTAGGTTAGGAACAGTTGGAGTCGCGATGCGAATGCGGGATAGCGCCGGCTTGCCTACCATCCAGTACATTGACCGATGCCCCCTTTCAAGTTTTCCCCATGGGCAATCAGCAACCTACCCCGGCTACCAGACAAACGCGGAGGAAGCTAAGGTTGAATCAGACCACTGCGCCGGTATCCGTTGATTGTCACAAGTTGGCCTTGTTCGGATGGTGGTGGCTGGCGACGCTTGTTTGGTGCGCATCGAAACAGCGCCGGGGAGGCCTTTACCCCGATGCCCGATGCAGCATCACGTGGAGTTAAGAGGTTTTTACCCCAGATCTACCCCAGGTTCCTCCTCTTTCTCCTCACGAGTCTCTGTTCCTTCAGGCTCCGGGGTATGTCTTCTCCTCATGCGACGCCTTCGACTCCTCATCACACCAGGAGTCGGCCCCCGGTCGTTCGTTGCCCAGCTTCGGGGAATAAGAGCCGGCGGTGCTTGACTGAACCTCGGGAGACCCATCCCCCGGTTTCCCCATATCCCGGGCAACGGCGTTTTCGACGGGCGTCTTACGCCGAAATGCCGAGACACGGGAGGATGCGGCGCAAGCTAGCAACATCAAGCGAAAGCTTTTTCAAAGAGACGAACCATACTACGTCACAGATGAGCTTCTCTTAAAGACGGGTCGCCTCATTGAAAAGTGAAGTCTCTGCGGGTACTATGCACCAGGACCGCTACAAACCACAACCAGCAGCACGTTGATGGAGACAGTTTACTATGAAACCAATGTTCAGAATTGCACAGCCAAAAGAATAGTTTATCGAAGCCTACAGGCAAGCCATTACCGGTTCTCTTGTCACCCGACGCCAAGAGACTGAGTGCACAGTCAGCATGCAGTATTGTTTGCTTGACGCAGTTGGACACCAACAAACCCCGTTGCATATACCTGGGCTTGGTTGCTCTAATACTCGATACGCGTCCATGCTGTCAGAATCTGGCCAATAACTTTCCATAAGCTGACAGTCCAACTATCATGGTTGACGGACCGGTGTGAAGTATCCGCTGTTCATTCCGTACAGTAAGGTCCCCGATCACGAGGCAGACAAGCAAATCAGCAGATTTTCCTACAACGTAGTTGACGACCTAACGTGTGGACTGATGGCTCCTCGGTAGCTTCTTTTTCTTAGATATTTGATCGCCTACGTTGATCGGCGACCACTTGCCCGCATCCTACCGAAACACCAAAAGGCTCACCCGCTTGCGATATGACCCTCTTTCAACCGTGCTATTTTGCCGTCTTTGATGAAAGTAGCTAATGATGATTTTCGTTGCCAGATGGTCAGATGAGAGGAACGTGTAGCACGACGGTTAGCATCGTGTTGCAGTGGAAGCACTGAATTACGTGGTCACTCTAATAGCCTCTTCAAGTTACACAGCGAGTCTGGGCTAGTACAAGGGTAGCACCTCAATTGATTTCATCAGGTGAGTGACTCAAGACACTCACCGACGTGAAGTAAATGATACTGTGTAGCGTCAGCTCAGCTGCCCTGGCGAAACGCACAACTTCACGCGACCTCGCTCTGCGCTTCGCATTCTCTAATCAAAGACGACGGAACTGCCCAGGTCTATCGCGTTCCTTGAATCCCCAGCGAAGCAGGTAAAAACATGAATATATTTTATTTTCTAGCTTTTCCTGCTTAGGAAGAAAGCAAGTCCAAAACAACAGGGAGCGCCAAAGAAGTCCAATACTACCACCTCTGGTCTGAACGCACCCTCGACCATGCCTAGTCGCAATTCGAGTACCAAGAGACATAGATCAAAACAATGATAGACCCAGTGCCATGGAATTTCATATACATTCAGTCAGTCAACAGTACATCTGCGACGGCTGGACTGACCGATCCCTCCCCCGTGAGGCCTTGTTGCCTAAGTGTGCACAAGCTACGAGTCAGATAGTTGTAGTTGCCTTCCATACCTAGGACTTTATGAGCAATTCTGGGCTCTATATCCTACCTTACTTGGGTGCTTTCATGTGCCGCTTACCACTCTTACCCGCTCAGCCAGCCAACGCTTCACAGTATCACTCTTCCAACGGATCAACATGAGCACAAACGCTTATGGCTCGGCATATAGACACAACGCTGACTGAACCACAAGAAGGATTACCCTCGTACCAATAACTACACGGTCACCTAGAAGTTCATGAATGCTGACGAATGGTCCGATAGTCACTTGTGTGTGAGAATCATGTGCACGTTGAAACATCATCATGCTCACCGCAGGAGTGAAGTCTACCTGAGCTACTGCTGTGGGATGAGCATGCAATTTTCTGCTCTTCAGTATTCATTGACGATGAATACTGAACTCCGATGGAAAACGAGTTTCCGCTATAAATACAATATCACTCCCCGGACTCATTTCCAAGGATTCGAAATAGGACAGCTCACAAGAAAACATCACTGAAAATATTAAGACCACACTTTGCTGATTCAACGTCACAACAGAACGCAGGCAACCCCATTCCTCCAACCAAGCTTTCAACTTGCTAACAGAAATCCCAGACCGTCAACATGAAGTTCACAACCACCGTCCTCCTCACCCTCGCCACCAACCTCTCACCCATCCTCGCCGGAATGGCCCCCACCGCCGCCGAAGAATGCGGCGACCTTGGCGTGATGTCCTATACAGCCTCCTCTCTCGACAGCAACGTGGACCCCACCAACATCCGCAAGTGCAGAGAACACCCCCTGATCCTCAAATCCGGCTCATCCCCGAACCTGCAGGCCCGCGAGTGCTGGTTCGGCGACGAGTACGGCTGCAGCAAGGGGTACTGCTGAGAGTCATGCGATAGGAGCAAGGGCACCTGGTGTTGGACGGCGTGGAACGGGGGGCACGGGAACTGGCGGACGTGTTCTGGCAAGGAGCAGTGCGCGCCCGCGGAGCAGTCTGCTTGTGGGAAGGATTGTAAGGATGCCAAGGAGTGCGGGTGTAGCTGTCACTGAGAGCCTGGATGAGCTACGGAAGATTGTGTTTTTTACCCTGTCTTTATCACTGGAAAACTTACACCTGACTGTGGTGGATCTCACTTGCTTTGCTTCGTCTTGATAAGTTGAATTATTGGGCTGAAGAGCTCCTTTGATCAGTTCAGTAGACCAAATCATCACACTCATTTTAATAATAAGCAATCACTTTATGTTGTCTAACTTTATCTCAAAAATCTCATCTCTCTCATCGAAACCCTATGCCGAGTAAATAAAGCGAGTTGATAAATATCCGAAGTGTCCATAGAAGGGACTCATAGTCTCGTCCTTGGGCGGATGAATAATACTGAAGACTTCTTGAACTACAAAGTAGAAAGTTTTATAAGATTCCTTGATGCACCGTGATTCATTTGATACTATTGGAAAGTAATGATACAATGATGTGGGTGGTATGAGAATTTTTTTATCCATTTGCCATTGTTTTAAAATCATGTCTTGAGAGATGACAAATTGTAAGTCTAGTTACCAATATGAGCGGACACTCCTTAGAAACAGCCAAGAAACTCCACCAGTGTTTCACTGCATTCTTTCTCTTCTTAGAATCCACTGCTACAACACTGCCAGCAAAGTCATCGAGTCCGGAGCAGACGCCGTCACCCGGAGGCGGCAGGCGGCAGAGGGCCGTTACAAAGCATGGCCGAAAGCTCCGATGGGCCCACCGTGGCGCACAAACCCCCGCAAGCCAATCGCCTGCGACAACTGCAACCCCACCAACAACGACGCCCACACCAAAAGGGAAAGGAACTCGCGCCGGCCGCAGCATCTCGCAGCTCATCCCATCTCCGGGCAGCAAAAGACGACGCAACTAGGAAGACTCACTAGACCAATTCTGCCATTCGTTTCGAGTTAGAGTGAGGGATTCACTTATAAGCTGGTTGACCTTTTTAACTTTTTTTTCTTTTGCTGTTCAGACTGAGATCATCTTTGGAAAGGCTAGTGAAATATTGGAAAGAAACGCTCCACCAGATGTCATCTGTCATGGCAGAATCAGCACAGCAACAGCCGTTGGAAGGCGGCAAGATTCTCACGCCAGACGCCATCGCCAATATCCTCTCGTCCGCCTCGGCCTGGGCTGATCCAGGCTCCGTAGACCAGAGCCGCGCGCACAGGACCGCACTGCTGGGCGATGTACTCTTCACTGCGCAGCAGCAATGGAACAGTGGCAGTCAAGAGATTGACCTCGTTGCGGAGAAGCTGGGCGATGGAAGCAGAGATGGTGAGGTCCCTTGATTCACAGCACTGATTTGAGATCTATACTGACACATTCCACAGCATCATGGAGACTGCCCCTCGGTGACTCGGGCATCGTCGACTTCTTCCTCTCCGTCATATCCACAGAGAACCTCAGACCAGCGTTGAAAAAGCACTCTCTCCGTCTACTCGGCAACTCATGCGCCGACACAGGTACCAATCTTGTTCACTCATCCTCTCAATGAAGACCGTAAACTTAACTTATCATCCAGATGAAAATCGCGCAAGGGTCGTGGCATCAAACTCAATCACCTCCATCATCAGCTTCCTCGACGACGACGCCGCCCTCCCCTTCGCCGTGCCAGTACTCTACAACATCCTCGTCGACTACGAGCCCGCCCAGATCCAAGCCAGCTCCTCCTCGCTCACTCTCCACCTCGTCAACCTCCTCACCAGCCCACGCCTCGCCAACGCGCCGCATCTCATGGGAATCATTGGCAAGATCCTCGCCTTGCTCGCCACCCACGGTACGCTTCACCCACCCAACCCCCTCACTCACTCAGTCATAGAACCACAAAGCTCACATTCCTCCTCAGAAACCGAAGCCAACTTTGCACCCCCGCAAACACCAACTATCCTCCTCACCCTCGCCCTCACGCCCACAACCGACGCAGAAGACTTCGTCTCCCTCACCGCCGTCGCCCTAGCCTACCTAACCCACGCGCCCATCCAAGCCGCTCTCATCGCAACCGGCTCCGTCCCCGTCCTCCTCGCCACCTTCTACCACCTCCAAACCCAGCTCGACGCCCTCCGCGTCGAAGACGAAGACGCCGCCGTCCTCCTCAAATCCCTCCCGCAGTCCTTCATCCAGATCCTCGCAGACGTCTCCTACGCAGACGACTTCGCCCTCCACCACCCCATCGGCTCTCCCGTCCTCGACACTCTCTACAGCTGGCTCGCCACCACGCCCGACAACACTCACCTCCAGTCCGCGGCCTGCCTCTGCCTGGGCAACGTCGCCCGCTCAGACGAAGCCTCCTACGCCCTCGTCAAATCCCACGCCGTCCACCTGCCGCTCGCCGCCCTCCTCGCAAAAGCAACAGACACGATGCTCCTCCACTCCGCCCTCTCCTTTGCCAAAAACCTCGCCATCCCCTCCCAGAACAAACCCGTCCTCGGCGACGCCGGCCTCTTCAACCCCGACATCCTGCCCCGGATCTGGTCCCTCGACGTCAACCCCCAAGTGCAATTCACAGCAGTCTCCCTAACCCGCCTCCTCCTCGTAAACACACCCACAAACGTCCGCCGCCTCTGCGCCCCCTTATCCCCTGACCCCCTCTCCCCCTCCCACGAGACAACGCACCTCCACCGCCTCCTCGACATGGTCTCCCGCACCGACGCAGAACACACAAAAACAGAAGCCGCCCGCGCCGCCGCAGCCGTCTGCCGCGTCCTGCACACGGCACCCATCCCGCCCATTCTGCCAGACTGGGACCCCTCCGAAGACGGCTACGTCTTCCGCCCCGAGAACCCGCTGCCCGCAACGGCCGTGGCCGAGGCAGAAGGCGACGGCGGCGCGCAGCGTCGGGAGAAGTTTTACAGGCGGCACCCGAGCCTGAACAAGGCGCTCGCGTTCCTCGTCACGCAGACCAAGTTCCCCGTGCTACGCAGCGAGGCGTGGTTTGTCTTTGCGCTCATGTGTCGCGCCAAGGACGGCGCGGATGTGGTTCTGCGCACGCTGCAGGTTCCCGGTGCGTTTGAGGCGTTGACGGAGGCCGTTACCGGACGGACGTTTTCTGGGGAGGATAGCAGCAGCAGCAACGGCACGGATCAGAAGGCCATCGAGGGGCCGCCGCTGGCTGCGAGTAGTGATGGACAGGCGGTGGTTGTTGGCGGTGGAGACAATGCTGCCATGGTGGAGGGTCTTGGGCTGGAACCACAGCAGGCTGACCCGTCGCAGGCGGCGGGCATGAAGAAGGTTGATCGGGAGAATGGGCTGGTCATGGTCTCGGAATTGGTCAAGAGGCACGCGAATGAGTTGCCGGCTGTTAGGAGGGCCGCGTTTGAGGAGATGTTAAAGGAGGGTGGTGAGCTGATGGCCGATGAGAAGGGCAAGGGCAAAGCGTAGTTCAGATACTGAAGCAAACTATGCCTGACGACAAATGTTCCTCATCTGCTTCGTGACCTTCAAGTAACGCAGAGACCGCACTGAAGATGTTTTGTGCCATTTCAAGTCACAGGATTAAACCAATGTCAGATCACAGCATCACCGAGAGGAACCACAATTGGAAAAGCAATCGAATCAATCCTTAGTCTACTCCTGTCACCTTTGACCCATGATACACGTCACGTCGTATTCGTACGATGCGTCTTCCTACGCCCGTCGATTTAGACGACGGGGATTTCTTGGGGGAGTGTGTAGGGGGGGCAGCAATCGACACAAGCGGGCGTGATCAATGCAATAATTTCTTTATGACCTTGTCCTGAGAGTATCTCAATCCACTGAACCCACGCCAGGCCAGAAGAAAACAACCCGACTTTCGAAGAACTTTTTTCCCTTCTCCGAAAGTGTTTTTGATGTGTCGAAAGCAGCAGCCGAAAATCCCATTTCCATGCAGCAGCTTAAGCTTAGCTGCACTAGTAGCCGCAGCATCAAACAAAGCCCCCCGACACCACAAGAGACGACAGCAGAGCAGCAGCGGTAGCAAAGACAGAGACGTGCTGCGTTTATTTCTTGGCAGCCTCGGCCTCGGCCGCGTCGCGGGCGCGCTTCTCCTTCTTGCCCAGGTTGCGGGCCTCGGCTCTCGTGTCGCGGAGCTTGCGGTAAGCACCGCCCTCGATGGGCTTGGGGAGGTCGGACTTCGAGATCTCGGAGAAGCCGGAGGCGGACTTCTCGATGGGGAGGGCGGCGGAGAGGGACTTGACGGTCTCGGTCTTGGAGAGGTCGACCTTGGAGTCGCCCTGCTTGACCTTGTTGGAGCGGCGGGGGAAGACGACGAGGCGCTCCTTGTAGGCCTTGAGGCGGGCGACGTTGGCGGCCAGGGACTCCTCGCTCAGGTTCTTGCGGCGGCCATCGACGGCGATACCGATGGTGGGAGCGTAAAGGCGGGGGATACCGGCGGCCTAGTAGACTCGCGTTAACTCTCGAAAAATTCCCAAATCTTTGTCCTTCCTGGCACTGGGCGTGCCTCCTCGCGGGGTTCAATATCGTACCTTAAGCTCGTCCAGAGTGAAACCGCGGCCGGCACGGACCTTGCGGTTGTACTTGATGGTAGGGCATCTCACGACAGGGCGGAGCAAGTCGGTGGGACGGGGAGCGACCTTCGCGGCCTTGGCCTGACGGGCGACACGGCGGCTGTGCTTCTTGCCGGCCTGTGGTGATGTTCCAAGTCAGATCCAAATTCCTTTTTGCTATTTTCATTTTCCCACTCTCGAAAGAGAGTATCCTGCGCGAAAGATTCATACCTGGTCGAAGTGCGTCCGGACCCGGCGCTGCCAATCCTTGCGGAAATCTGGTTAAAGGGTGTCAGTACACTTGTGTCTCGATGGTCGTCGTCTTCGCAGTCGTCGCTCTTCGCGTGGAGGGGTGCTCACGGTTGTGGGGG